CCACCTAGTTAGCCTGCAGGCTAGCTTTTAAGAACAGATCCTTTGTTTACCCACTTGCCTCCAGCTCCTCCTGATTTTAATTTGCTTTTATTTTTAATTTTATTTTTGATGCACTGAACCTTGATTCTGAATCCCCCTTCAAGAAGGCAAGCATGAGCCACCATGCTACTTGCTGCAAGGTAAAGACAGAGGGATTATGTTGGGAAGGGGCGGGGGGCGAGGAAGGTCTTGCTGAAGGGAATGTTTGTGTACAGTAATTGCACAATGTATTGTTACTAGGCTGTGTATCATTTTGTGTTGACTTCTCCGCTTTCATTGTCTCTGTTACCAATACAGCCCCTTTAGTTCCCACAAAATTCTGGCCAGCAGCGTGTGTTAGTGTGGAGACAGAGAAATGTCTTGCAGTTAAATTTTCAAGGCAGTCCCCTTTTAAAGGCTTTCCTGGCAAGTTAAAGCACACTGAGGGCTACCTCCTGTATGTATGTCACTGCATCAGAATATAGGGCACTACAGGTAAGAGTCTCCAGCACTCCTCTGCAGCATTCTAAACTGCTTTTCCACTCAAAGGAAGCAAACGCTTGAGTAGATGCCAGGCCATAACAGACCAGTAACCTGCTGTTCAGACTTCACTGACCAGGACATTAAGTGCCTAACCCAGTCTAAGCTTACTGTGGGGCAGTGTGTGCCAGCGGGGAGACAGTGGGATGAAAATAAAGCAGTGGCTGAGATGCATGTTACAAAACAGGAAAAAAAGAAAACCAGGAAGTTACAAGGTCAAATTATTTTATTTAAAGTCCTGTAGAGGCACTTCCATCCCTGGGAGTTGATGGTAAATTCTCTTCTGCAAGTGCTGATTCTGAGGCACAAAATGGCTACCAAGCTCTGATGCACTGGAGAGGTAGGTAGATCTTCTCAAAGCCCAAGCACCCAGATCGCAAGTTGGATGCTACCTGCTTGCAGAAAAAGAGATACCTACCTCCTATCTGTTTTTGTGGAGGTAGGATTCCTTTGGTCCTGTAAGTCAGTGTGGAGGAGGAGACATCCTTCTTTGGCTCAGCTCTGGGAACAGGTGGAGTTGGATGCTATCTGCTTTCAGAAAAAGATACCTACCTCCTATCTGTTTTTGTGGAGGTAGGATTCCTTTGGTCCTGTAAGTCAGTGTGGAGGAGGAGACATCCTTCTTTGGCTCAGCTCTGGGAACAGGTGGAGTCTTTAGGTCACAATACCCAAGTTACCCTTTGATTCAAAGAGCTTAGTGTCCCTTCAGCTTATGGCTGAGTCACAGGAACCAAGAAGGTGGGATGTGTTCTCACTGGGCTGGGCAGAGAGCACTTGTCTGCAACCACAGAGGTCCTCTTCAAAAGGGAGAATGTATTTATTGCCCTCCTGCATCAGGCTGGATGGTCTTGACTCTGTTTTGGGTAAGACAGCACCACCTTGAGCTCTGCTTGACCCAATTTCCAACTGTAAGTGTGCTGTGCCTTCTGGTTTGTCTCCTGTCCCCCTTAATTCTCAGAGAAAAAGCTTCCCTACAACGAGGCCTGGAGAGGATAAACAAGAACAGCAATTTGAAATGCTAATCCTCACCCTTGGGGGAGACACACTGGTGAGAGGAGGAAGAGCTCCTTGCAGGAGAGTCATTTGGTCAGCAGGGAGAATTCTTGAGTGCAATCACATTGTCCAGCAGGCGTAAATAAGAGCAATCAGCAGCCCCATGGCCACAGCAAGGGCGGCATTCTTGCGATTCTCCTTGCGAAGCACACTCAGTTCTTTCTCTGGGAAACAAAACAAAAGCCTTGCCTGTGAACGTTCTTTGTGTTGCAGCTACATTTCCCCTCAAAACTGTCTTAAAAGCACAATGCTACCTTGGCCACAGGCAACTCTTTTGGGATCAGTATGCAAAGCTGCCAGTGAGATGCACAGAACAGGAAGTAAACTAGCAGGAGCCCTTTCATTTGCTCACTCTCCTCCTCTCCATTTCGGGAGCTGTGCTTGGGAATAATTCAGTGCCAAACCAGTTCCTGTTTGCAAATGGCCTTGGTCTAGGACCCTACTAAGGACAGAATGGGTCATTAGAATAATTACTTGTTCCCTAAGAGAATGGAGAAGACAGAGGGTAGAGAGCTGTTTCTACTCTGTTCTAGACATAACAGCCCTGGTACCTTTTCCTAGTGTTTAAATTTACTTAGATACAACTGTAGAACAGATCTGAGCCTGGACACTCGTTCTCTTGGGGTCTGCAGCATTTTAGAGACAGGTCACTTTCCCTGGCCCTGGTTTACAAAAGAAGAAACACAGATGCAGAAAGAGGAAGGAGGTGACTACCAAAAGTATGGAGTCCTACTGATCTCCATTTCTGTTCCATTCCCTTTACCAAAGATGAGAACCCCATTCTTGCTAGTTCTGTTCCACAAGACTTCGCTGGATGACACAGACAAGAAGCGAGGCCTACAGTGTTACACACTGCAGGGCCAAAGAGCAATAATTATTTTTCAGGGCAAGGTTAGGTGCACACTGTCTCCAGAGCCAGATTACTCTTGCTGCTGAATTCAGCTGCAGTGACTGCATGGGTTACTGCCTCTACAGCTTGGACTAGCAGTCTCAAGCAGGAAT